CATTTACAACAGAAAGCACAAGATTTACATTTATAATCTAAAACGTGAGTTGACTCATTACAGCCCCATGGGAGGATTCTGTCAGAACCTAGGATTGGCTTTTGGTTGCATCCAGGAAAACTGGGTCCTGTGATAGAACTCAATGAGGATGTGCTCCTGAGAGTGATTAAGACTGAGTGCTAAATGGATTCCTCCTAACTGCAGGCAGTCACTTAGGGGATCCCCCCCTCCCATGTGTGTGTATGCTGTTTCTTTTTTCTTTTCTTTTCTTTTCTTTTCTTTTCTTTTCTTTTCTTTTCTTTTCTTTTCTTCTTTTCTTTTCTTTCTTTTTCTTGATTTTAGGGAAGGGTCTACAGGGTGTTCAGGGTCTCACTACTAGATCGGATTCATAGTGATCTGCCTGTTTACAGCCTCCCAAGAGCTGGGATTACAGGTGTGCACCACCATGCCTGGTCTCAATTGCCAGTGCGCCCTGGGGGAGGGGCTGGCAGGGCAGGCCCGGGATCGAAACCCCAGCTCTTGCGCCTGCTCGCAGGTGCTTTAATCTGATGAGCTATTTGGCCAGCCCTATGCTGTTTCCTTTTTATTTCTTTTCTTTTTTTGTGGAACCGGGGATTGAACTCAGGTCCTTGCACTTGCCAGGGAAGTGCTTATTCTACTGTGCCATCTCGCCAGCCCCTATGCAGTTTCTTATGATGTAGGCAAAATCATGACATCTGGGGACACACCTCTACAGTGAAGGTAATGGTGCAGAGAAAAGGTGGTAATGGAGGCTGACAGAGGAGGAACAAGGAATTGCTCAGTGCCATTTTTGGCCTCTGGGGACCGTTCATCTCTCCACCTGCTCTTCATCATCCCTCCCCTCCGTCTCCCCTTCTCCATTCAAGATTGTCAATCCATGCTGTGGGTGGAGTCTTCCTCTGGTGGAGAGGATGGGCATTGCACTCAGCCTGCTCTGCCTCCAAGTGGTATGTTCAGGGGACAGTGCTGCCCCGCGGTGTTAGCTCAGGCTGCCTCCCTTCCTTGGTCACTGCTGTGGCATCCCTGATGGGTAGGCTCAGACTGTTTCAGGCCATCTTGCCATGACTGGCAGAGAGGTATCCTAAAATGTTGCTTTTAGGGCTGGCGAGATAGTTCAGCAGACTTAGGCAAGCTCAGGGACCAGGGTTTGATTCTTGGCACCACTATGAGTCTGAGCTGCGTAGTAAGACCCTGTACCAAATATATATATTTAAAAAATGCTGCTGTCCTGTCATACCTTCCCCTATTTAAAAGACAAGGACCAGTGCCTTGACAATGATGTGAGACTGGCTGATTACCAACCACTTCTATAAAAAGTGCATTTCACTCTTTTTTTTTTCTTTTTTTTTCTTCGGAAGCAGGGATTGAACTCAGGCCCTTGTGCTTGCCAGGGAAGCGCTTATTCCACTGAGCCATCTCTCCGGCCCCTGCATTTCACTCTTAGCTCTCAGGTCCAGTGGCATTTTGATTAGCTTGCCTCACTCTCTGTAATGCCCTTTCCAGCCTTTGCATAAACTGTTCAGCTTTCAAGACTCAGTCAAAAACAACCAAAAACCCCACCAGACTCAGTCCAGTTTTCCTTCCTTACTAAAGTCTTCTGTCCATCTCCCCATTATAGGGCACATCACTCTGCTTCACACTTGATTGGACTCTTGTGGCAGAGGGAGGTCCCTAGTAGGTCTTGGGACAGCTGCAGTGGAGCGGGCGCTCAGCAAAAGCGTGTTGAAGAAGTGCTTGGATGGGTCTGTGTGGCATAGGGGAGACCAGGTGGAAGTGCTCCAGTGTTCCTTTGTGTCCACCATGGACCAGCTCCCTTGCCCTGGATGAGCTGCCCCTTTCTCTAGTGTTCAAAGGGGACATGGAGACCCCTTTATGGGTCATTACAGGAGCCAATGGTATCAAGCCCAGGATCCTGAGTCGGGCCCCCAACTCTTTTGCAGGGGGCTTTCTTCTGTGACCTGGTACTTATCTACATCATCAAAAAGAGAGAGTTTTACCGTGACAAAAAGTACGAGGAAGTGAGGTCAGTTAATTTTCTCCCAAAATGGTAGGGGCCCCTGAGGGGTCCCCTCCTCCTCAGCCTAGAGCTGTCACTTGGCTGGGTGTTGGATTCCGGGTATAGAAGGGGAGGGCGAAGGGCTGGGGAGGTGATGTGTATCTGAGGCCTTCTCCGCAGGGCTGGATTCCCCCTCAGCACAGCCCAGTGAAGAGGCCTCTCACTGTATGACTTTGGAAAATCCCAGGACTTGCTAGGCCTCAGTTGCTTGGGTTTTAGGATCTTTTAAGATGCTTGGATTTGGTGGTCCTGGTGGGTAAAGCCTGGATGGTAAGGGGAAGAAAAGGTGGATTTTTCTCGTGCTGCAGAGGCCTCTTTCCAGGGTCTGTTAGGTGGGTTTGCACATGTGTGAGGGCGTGTGTGCACATGAGAGCTGGTCCCATTGTGGAGAGCAACAGAACACAGCATGGGGAAACCTGATGCTGTGGGTGGACAGAAAGGCCAAGTCTGTCAGGAGGAGCTGGGATCCGAGAGGACCTAGGACAGGCACCTGGCACTTCCTCAGTCTCGTGACAACCTGGACCTGCCAGTGTGCCTCTGTGGACCTCAATCTGCGTTGTTTGCAAATGAGGGCCTGGGCAACTGGGCAAGCCATGCCTGGGGGCCTGCCACCTAGTGTTCCTGGAGGGCCCTTCAGGGTCCACTCTGGGTGATGCGCATGTCCTGCCCAGGGGCCGAGAGCATGCGGCTCGGGAGGCCAAGGCTGAGGCTGAGACAGAGGTGATGGAGCGGCCACCGACCAAGGAGGAGCAGCCCCAGGCCCTGTCACAGAGCTGCAGCTGGAAGGGGAATGGCGGCGTGTGCGGAAAGCTCCCTCATTCCTCCAGGTGAGGCGATGCAGGCAATCCTTGAAGATTTGCCATAGGGAGCTGGATGGGGAGATCCTTCCGTGCTGGGTTCAGGTTGTAGGGGTGCTGGTGCTGCTGTAAACCCCATCCCACCCCCGCTCCAAGACTCTGGGGTCCCCTTGCAAGCCAAATGTCTTATGCCGTGCTGTTCCAGCCTGTGTAGCTAGTTATTCCGTTCCCCCAGCACCTCTCCCAGCCCTGTGCTGCCCTGGGCTATTTGTGTATTTTAACTCATATAAGTAACTTAATGAGGTGGACACAGATTATGTCCTGTTTTACCAGTGAGGAAATCAAGACACAAGAAGATTAAATAACTTGTTCAAATCCCACAGCTAACGCATGGCAGTTTGGGATCTGAATCCAGGCTGGATTTTTTTTTTTTTTTAGGGTACAGTTCACCAGTGGGATTCCCTGCCTGGACAAATCCCTCAGTCTTCCACCTGCCATCAGATTACCCCATAGTCCCTCAGGCAGAGTCCCTCTTCTGTGGACTTGGGCACTGCCTGGCCTCTTTTGCAGATGTGACCTCTGCTTTGGGTGGGAAGGAGACCTGGGTTGAGGTGGGAATCCTGTGTCTGGGCTTCTCTGCTTCTGTTTCACCATGTTCTGGGCTCCCCATTTCTTCTTTTTTCTTCTCTCAGTGGGGTTGGACACACTGGCTGCTCCTGTTCATTTAGATTAGGGATTTGGGACAGTGCCCCCCCACTCCCAAGTTCTCTGGCCTGGACCAGTCCCCCCCTCCCAGCTTTCATTCTTTGCTGAGTCAGGGTTTGCAGTCTCTGGGTAGGGGCTGGATCCAGTGGGGAAGGAGCTTAGAAATAGCTTGGGGTGCAGCAGAGGAAGGAGTGGGGGGAGGGGCAGCTGGACCAGCTGGGGGCAGGGCAGGGACCTGAATAGAATGGGCCTGAGCCAGCAGCCCTCCTAGTGCTTCTTGGGCTGTCACTGTACATATCCATCTGAGCATCTGTACCCTCAAGGATACAATGGCCACCTTGCTTGTCTTGGTCCAGCCTTGTCCATTGCTGGGGAAGGCTGTGTGCTCATGGGCCTGGGCCCGGGATCGGGATCCCACCACAGTGGTTGCTGCTTATTGCTGGTTGGCTCCAGAGCCCTGCTGCCCTCCCTGTGTTTGAGCTGCAGCCAGGATCCCTGAAGGATTGTCCTCCGCCAGATGCTGCCTGCCTACCGTGCTGCCAGTGAGCATGGCTGCTGCATGGCTCTGCCTTTAGGGAGGGGACCCAGTCACAGACTGAGCCCCCAGCAGTTCTCCCCCAACCCCCAGGACTGGCGTCTTAAAGAAGGAAAAGGTGAACGTACGGCAAGTGCAGACTTTGCAGACAGCGGGGACGTAGCCAGAACTGATGGCTGAGAGAAGATTCAAAGATGTTGGGGCCACAACCAGTCTGCATCTTGGAACTGGGAAGATGTATTTTGTGCCTGTATGGGACAGGGGCTTCTGGAAACAGACATCTCTCTTGTACCTTGGGATCCTGCAATAAGCTTTTTTTTGTAAGGAGAGGAGCCTCCTGTTTGCCAGAGTGGGCCACATCCAGAAGAAGAGGCCCTGGGGCTGGCACCCAGGGAAGGGAGCAGGCTAGAGGCCTGGGTGGTACTGATAGGACACTCATTTATTCATCCATACAGTAAACATTGATGCATGTTTTCATGCTGGGCCCTAAGAGATGCTTTAATAAGACGCTGAGCTAGCCCTCAGGAAGGGGAATGTGGAACTCCCCTTAAAACCAACCGATAGTACAGCCAGGTCTGGCCACTCTGGCTTTCTTTTGGCCTCTGAGACTTTTACAAGTCACAGTAGAAAATGTTTGTTGCTCAGAAAAAGTTGAGGACAGTATCAAGGGGACATCTAGCCTTCCCCTAGGTGTAAAAGTTAAAGGTGGCCAAGGAGGAACTGGAAACAGAATGGGCCAGTCAGGAGACAGCTGGCTCCTAAGGGGAGAGTCCACCTCTGGGGTCTTCTAGTTAAGATGGGCAAGGGGGATAAGAGGTTTGGCTCCATTCTGGCCTTCTGGTAGGTGCGTTGGCCTGTATGGTTGTTCTTGCTGTTCTCTGGGGCTGGGTGACACTGTCTGGCTATCTCACTGCTGTCCTCAGAGGCTTCATTTTAAGTGTTAAAGAGATAAAGGATGCACTGCCTCAGCAGGTGTAAAGTTCTCAGGGATCTTGCCTTCCCCCACCTCACCATCCCTACCCCAGCTCACTCTCCCTGCCTGGCTACTCCAAGGAGGGTCCCCGGACCAGCAGCAGCAAGGGCATCACCAGGATTTGTTAGAAACACAGCTTCAGCCTTCTCCTTCATCTCAGCAAACCAGATCCTGGATTTTCCTAAGACCTTGAGGTGGTTTGAGAGCACATTGTTTGAGAAGCCCTGGTTCTTGGAGGAAAAAGGCCAGCTTCTGGGTGCAAAGCTTCTATATCAGCATTATACACATGCAGCCTCGAGACCAAGGGGTCCCTCTCCCACCCCTACCCCCAGCCCCAAAGCAGCATTTTGTTCAGTTACTTGAATTAAAATATTTTGACTAGTCAGTACTTACATGATTGAAACTTTAAAAGGCATAAAAGAATAAAGTGTCCCTCCTACCTCTGTTCTCCATAGACCAACAGCATTTCTAACTTCAGAACACTCCCTTAGTTTGCTAAGAATCATTTGGTTACCTTTGCAGTCCCCTAGGAAATAATCTTTTCCAGTAACACCGAGTCTTCTGTCAGAGATGGATATGAATACACTTAAATCCTAGACTTGGATCCAGCTACCTCAGTTCTCCCCGTCTCATTTTGTGGGGCGAGTCCCTTCAGGACCCAAGGGCTCATTACAGTTGTCTACATTGCCTGGCACTACAGACCTTAAGTCCCGCCCCCTTTCCTCCTGGCTAGAATGCTGGGCACCGTTGTTTTTTTTTTGTGGGTGGCTTGTGGCTTCCTAGGCGCCAGGGGGTGTCTTCTTTGGAAGGGGCATTTTCTGTGCACATGGGCTGAGGAGCAGCCTTCCACTAAGGACTTTCTAGGACAGAAGGGGCCCGGTAGAAGTTGCTGCCACTCAGGCAGAATGGTATGGTGCCCAGAGTGGGATCTGTTATAGAGAAAACTGGCTTCTTGACATTGGGTTCCCCGGGAGCCAGGAGTCCATGAGCCAACCTGAATAGAAAGTGAAACATCCAGGTGATCCCCATAAAGGTTGCACTTCATCACTAAAGCCAACTGTGTTTTATAACCTAGTGTGTTATGTTTGTGTTGGGAGGAAGTAAGAGAGGCAAGGGTCATGGCTGCTTAGGGATTAGTCTGCTTCCTTTCTAACTTGGTGTTAAAATGGCTCTGTGGGGGTCCTGGCCCTAGCTCAGGCCTTTAAGTGGCTGCTTCCACAAAGCTGGGAGCCTCAGGTTGCTGTAGTTCGATCCCCACAACACTCCAGCCAGCCAAAAGTGCCCTGAAGGCATTCGAGGAGCAAAAAAAAAAAAAAAAGGCTCTGTGGCAGCCATATCGCCTAGGGACCAGTTTTACCATTTGTTTCATATTGGAGTAATATGCCTTCCTACAGTCGTTCATTTGGGTCACTCAGTAAATATTTGCTGAGTTTGTGATGTATCAGGTGTTGGGCTGCCTGCAGTGGGGAGCAACACACCTGCTCCCTGGACTCCGGTGCTTCCTGCGTGGCATCATGGACTCAGTAGGCTCCTTGGAGGTTTTCAACTAGAAGCAGCTAGAGGAAGTTTCCCTGAGGAAGTGACAGGAGTTGAAACCTGAAAGGCTAGAAGCAGCCTACCTCGGTGATGGTCAGGTAGTCCATTTAAGGGGGCCACATGTGAAAAGAGACGTTGGAGAGGTGTTCTTTTAATCAAGTTGACTTTCATTATAAGGACTGCCCAATTAAACTTTATTGCTTTAGAGGACTTCTCCAACCTAATCGTTTCTTGGAAGCCAGTGAAGCTGTCTGGGAGGTCTCCCTGGTTTGGTCAGGCGTCCTCTGCTCAAAAAGGCTTGGGGCTTCAGCACAGCTTCTGGATCCTGCCACATACTCTGGCCAAGTTGCCTTGCTTTTTGCATGATCCTCCCCATTCCCTCAGACCTGCCGCATAATCTTGGTGCAAGAAGGCTCACTCTCATGCAAATGGACTTTTAAATGGGGGAAAAGGAAGCAGGAACACCAGCTCCTTGCAAACTTAGGGAAAGCCTCCTCTCTGAGGACTGGTTGCCTGGCTGGGAGGATGTGAGCACCAGCCTCTGAGCGCCCTTATCCCCTTGCTGGAGACGGAACACGTGCCTGCTGAGCATGCCTTCTACCCGAGCTGGATCAGCAACCCAGGACTCTTTATTTCTGATATTCCACAATCAGGTAAATGGTCTGTGCTTACAGTCATGTCCTAGGCTAAGCTGGTCTACCTAGTGTATCCCTGACTGTTACCACATGCTTTTGGTAGCACCTCAGTGGTGGCCTGTAGGAAATTTATACACTGGGTGCTATTAATACAGTATCATAGGGACCAGTAATAAAGGAGTAGTGTCCTCCATTCCTGATGCTGTGGTCATTTTGGCCCCCTGCCCATTTCTTCCTGTGGGAAAGAACTTCCTCTTGGGGTCTCTCAGTACCCTACCTAAGGACTATTATGACCCACAGAATTCCTAAATCACTTGGGATTGCACCTTGGGTGTCTGGAAAAGGACTCCACTTGGTTCTAACACACCCTTCCCACAAGAGACGTGATTCCCCCAGAGCATTCTCCCCTGGATCCAAGAACACTTGCTCTTCAAGACTCCACCGTTCTGTGAGCTGTCTCCCCTTAAGCCTGTACACAGAATTAAAGGGGGGAGGATGGCAGACACTTCCTGGGCCCTGCTCAATATATGTACCTTCTGACACTTGGTTTAAAACAATAAAAAGCATCCATTTTAAATGTGTTCTGATATTTTCCCCCTTTGTATCTTCACAGTTACTCCTTGTCTTAGGGGAAAATGTCAAGAAACTAAAAGGCAGACACAAAGAACTAGTATCCACATATATTATGTTCCTTTGCAAAGAAAAACTTAAATATGGAAATTCTTTAAATAAATCAGGGCTGGAGAGATGGCTCAGTGGTCTAAAGCATCTACTTGGAACAAGCTTGGCAAAGCACACGGACTGCGGTTCGATCCCCCAGCACCACATGCCAGCCAGCCCCGCCCCC